CACTCCATCACTCCATCACTCCCTCACTCCATCACTCTATCACTCCATCACTCCATCACTCCCTCACTCCATCACTCGATCACTCGATCACTCGATCACTCCATCACTCGATCACTCCATCACTCCTTCACTCCATCACTCCATCACTCCATCACTCCATCACTCCATCACTCCGTCACTCCATCACTCCGTCACTCCCTCACTCCATCACTCCATCACTCCATCACTCCCTCACTCCATCACTCCATCACTCCCTCACTCCATCACTCCATCACTCCCTCACTGCATCACTCCATCACTCCATCACTCCATCACTCCCTCACTCCATCACTCCATCACTCCCTCACTCCATCACTCCATCACTCCATCACTCCATCACTCCCTCACTCCATCACTCTATCACTCCATCACTCCATCACTCCCTCACTCCATCACTCGATCACTCGATCACTCCATCACTCGATCACTCCATCACTTCTTCACTCCATCACTCCATCACTCCATCACTCTATCACTCCATCACTCCATCACTGCATCACTCCATCACTCCATCACTCCATCACTGCATCACTCCATCACTGCATCACTCCATCACTCCATCACTCCATCACTCCATCAATGCATCACTCCATCACTCCCTCACTCCATCACTCCCTCACTCCATCACTCCATCACTCCCTCACTCCATCACTCTATCACTCCATCACTCCATCACTCCCTCACTCCATCACTCGATCACTCGATCACTCGATCACTCGATCACTCGATCACTCCATCACTCCTTCACTCCATCACTCCATCACTCCCTCACTCCATCACTCCATCACTCCATCACTCTATCACTCCATCACTGCATCACTGCATCACTGCATCACTCCATCACTCCATCACTCCCTCACTCCATCACTCCATCAATCCCTCACTCCATCACTCCATCACTCCATCACTCCCTCACTCCATCACTCCATCACTCCATCACTCCCTCACTCCATCACTCCATCACTCCATCACTCCCTCACTCCATCACTCGATCACTCCATCACTCCATCACTCGATCACTCGATCACTCCATCACTCCTTCACTCCATCACTCCATCACTCCATCACTCCCTCACTCCATCACTCCCTCACTCGATCACTCCATCACTCCATCACTCCCTCACTCCATCACTCCATCACTCCATCACTCCATCACTCCATCACGCCATCACTCCATCACTCCATCACTCCATCACTCCATCACTCTATCACTCCATCACTCCATCACTCGATCACTCCATCACTCCTTCACTCCATCACTCCATCACTCCATCACTCCATCACTCCATCACTCCGTCACTCCATCACTCCGTCACTCCCTCACTCCATCACTCCATCACTCCATCACTCCCTCACTCCATCACTCCATCACTCCCTCACTCCATCACTCCATCACTCCCTCACTGCATCACTCCATCACTCCATCACTCCATCACTCCATCACTCCCTCACTCCATCACTCCATCACTCCCTCACTCCATCACTCCATCACTCCATCACTCCATCACTCCCTCACTCCATCACTCTATCACTCCATCACTCCATCACTCCCTCACTCCATCACTCGATCACTCGATCACTCCATCACTCGATCACTCCATCACTTCTTCACTCCATCACTCCATCACTCCATCACTCTATCACTCCATCACTCCATCACTGCATCACTCCATCACTCCATCACTCCATCACTGCATCACTCCATCACTGCATCACTCCATCACTCCATCACTCCATCACTCCATCACTGCATCACTCCATCACTCCCTCACTCCATCACTCCCTCACTCCATCACTCCATCACTCCCTCACTCCATCACTCTATCACTCCATCACTCCATCACTCCCTCACTCCATCACTCGATCACTCGATCACTCGATCACTCGATCACTCCATCACTCCTTCACTCCATCACTCCATCACTCCCTCACTCCATCACTCCATCACTCCATCACTCTATCACTCCATCACTGCATCACTGCATCACTGCATCACTCCATCACTCCATCACTCCCTCACTCCATCACTCCATCAATCCCTCACTCCATCACTCCATCACTCCATCACTCCCTCACTCCATCACTCCATCACTCCATCACTCCCTCACTCCATCACTCCATCACTCCATCACTCCCTCACTCCATCACTCGATCACTCCATCACTCCATCACTCGATCACTCGATCACTCCATCACTCCTTCACTCCATCACTCCATCACTCCATCTCTCCCTCACTCCATCACTCCCTCACTCGATCACTCCATCACTCCATCACTCCCTCACTCCATCACTCCATCACTCCATCACTCCATCACTCCATCACGCCATCACTCCATCACTCCATCACTCCATCACTCCATCACTCCATCACTCCCTCACTCCTTCACTCCATCACTCCATCACTCCATCACTCCATCACTCCATCACTCCATCACTCCATCACTCCTTCACTCCATCACTCCATCACTCCATCACTCCATCACTCCCTCACTCCATCACTCCCTCACTCCCTCACTCCTTCACTCGATCACTCCATCACTCCATCACTCCATCACTCCCTCACTCCATCACTCGATCACTCCATCACTCCATCACTCCATCACTCCTTCACTCCATCACTCCATCACTCCATCACTCCATCACTCCATCACTCCTTCACTCCATCACTCCATCACTCCATCACTCCATCACTCCATCACTCCATCACTCCATCACTCCCTCACTCCATCACTCCATCACTCCATCACTCCATCACTCCCTCACTCCATCACTCCATCACTCCCTCACTCCTTCACTCCATCACTCCATCACTCCATCACTGCATCACTCCATCACTCCATCACTGCATCACTCCATCACTGCATCACTCCATCACTGCATCACTCCATCACTCCATCACTCCTTCACTCCATCACTCCATCACTCCATCACTCCATCACTCCATCACTCCCTCACTCCATCACTCCATCACTCCATCACTCCATCACTCCCTCACTCCATCACTCCATCACTCCCTCACTCCTTCACTCCATCACTCCATCACTCCATCACTGCATCACTCCATCACTCCATCACTGCATCACTCCATCACTCCATCACTCCATCACTCCATCACTCCTTCACTCCATCACTCCATCACTTCATCACTCCATCACTCCATCACTCCTTCACTCCATCACTCCATCACTCCATCACTCCCTCACTCCATCACTCCATCACTCCATCACTCCATCACTCCCTCACTCCATCACTCCATCACTCCCTCACTCCTTCACTCCATCACTCCATCACTCCATCACTGCATCACTCCATCACTCCATCACTCCATCACTGCATCACTCCATCACTGCATCACTCCATCACTGCAGCTAACCATTATATTTATTATGACTATTTGAGTCAATAATATTATATGTGTTAAAAATATTATAGAAGACAATACAACTTACAATAAAATTATTCATATAAAAATAGTTGTGTTTAGTATACAAAAATATAATAATTATAGCAAACAAATGAGTTTATTTAAAAATAACAATAATAATATATATTAAAGGCTCATATTAATTATAATTTTGACACAAAGTTGGTCAAATGTGAAGCTTTTTAATAAAGAAGCATTGATTGTAGAGGAAGTAAGAATAGTGAGCATAAACGTGGAACTGAAAGACAGAGAAGAGAAATCTGTGTCCTGTGATGAATGGAAACTCGTAATTAAAGAAGATTCATCAAAGCTCAAGTTCTCCACCAATTCTTTCTTTGATTCTTTGATGAATTCTCGATTCATCAAAGCTCAAGTTCTCCAAAAACACCAATTCTTTCGAATTGGTGTTTTTGAGCACCAATCAGAAATGAGGACAAGCGAAGATTGACGCCAATTATGAGCCAGAATACATTGGAGGCCCAAGAGACAGACGAGGAAGACACCTGGTGCTTCAGTCACAAGCGGTCACCACGAACTACGATCATCCAGATGATATAGTTTTTTTTTATTTACTTACATGCAGAGCATGCTAATCAGAACAATAAAAGAAACATAAGAGAAAAACTAACACAAAAGTCCAAACCACAGGCCGGAAGGACTCACAACAAGACACATAAACATTTATCACATTACATAGAACAGTCCATTGACATAAACCCAAAAGTAAAGAAAGACACCACCACAGGCCTGACGGGCCCACAGCAAACACCACAAAGGGAGGCAATACAACACAAGTCACCCGTACATGTATTTGTCCGGGAACTTCGCTCTCGGAAACGGGATACAGTATGCCTCCCAATGCAGCCACTCATCAGGATACTCATCACGATGAAATTGCATATAAGGGGGCACCATATTATCCGGAACCTCGGACACAAAGGCATGTACTCGGCGGACCCAAATAGAATCAGGGCATGGGGAAAAAAGCGCCACTTGCTCCCACAAGACGGGCATCCGGTTAACAGTCAAAATAGCAGTCAAGTTATCAACAGGCCGTAGACCAGCACCACGGGAGGGGACGTGTCAGGGGGCAACACCACAGGGGCCCCCGCTGGAACAACATCATCCACAGGGCCGGGCACCGACACAGACCTCCCACGGCAGACATCCTTCTTCAAGACCACCACAAGGCCTCGGCTCGCACCAGCATCCTCACCATCCACCACAGGAGGGACCACCCCCACTGCGGAGAACCTCCTGCAGGAGAAAAAACAGAGGTTAACTTGGAGACATTTCTACCGGTAGCAGCAGTAGGAACATGAACCTCCATCGTGGTTGACACCAACGCCCCAGGAACCACCCCACCGAAGACCCGCAATCGTCAAATTCACCCACATTGGCTGAGGCAGAAGTATAATGCAGCGAATGCTTTAGACCCGGCTGCATGTCGTAAGAGCCAGAGGCGGAACCTGAAGCACGGATAACACAGGGTGGGCACACCGGCGCACGACGCAAGACGTCAGCAGCCTCAACGACATGAGGGGGACCGGCCACAGCACTGCAGGAGGCCCCGCACCCACACCACCTCTTAGCACAGCCGAGACAAGCAGCGGAGACGGAGAGACAGGAGCCACAGGAGAAGGCAGAGGGTCAGGCACAGAAGATGGTGGAGACGTAGGGAAAGTATCCTGGAGATCAACAGCAGCACCGGGAATGCCATCTGGAACAGTACACCCAACCGAGGACAGCACAACCTCCGGAGTACAAGCCCCACCAATATCAGGCACACTGTCCGACTTAGGACGCGACACAATAGCCAAAGGGTCGTCCACAACCTCACCCAACGGGTCTGCCTCCACAGCTAGTGGCGAGAAATCTTCCTCGCGAAAAAGATTCATCGGAGCAACGACATCCACCGAGCATCCAGCAGCCAGGTGGACCAACAAATCACAGCGAAAACAGGTGCGTGGCTGACGTGCATAGTACACTCAGGCGTAATATCCCATGAGCCGCACAGAGGACGGGATGTCTGACCCAAGCCACATCCCCAGAGTGCGAATATTAGTCAGAACGCCCTTGAGCTTCCCAGAGAAAAGCATATTCAAGCTGACACTCATGACAGTGGCATACCGCCCGAAATACCATCGCAGCAGCTCCTCTGGGAACTCGAGGGGCGCAGCATGCACACTGACGAAGGTAAGGGCACCACTCCGGTAGCAGATAACGACCATACCAGCAGCGTCCGGCAGCAGAAACGACCGCCCCCTCATAATGATGCAAAAACACCCTGTAATCCTCCTCGGCAGTAAACATTACCATAAGCCGATGGGAGGACACCAACTCCACTCCATAGATCGCAGCCACATTAATTTCAGCATGTCACACAACACCAGCTCCACCGCTGGATAATCAGCCCTGCCGGTAAACTCCAGGCCTACTGAATGAGCCTGCAAAATGGGGGGGGGGAGGGAATCCCTCCATCACTCAGGACACGTCAGCACGCCACCTGTGGTCCGCCAACTATCACCAGATGCTGAAGGTATAGATATTACGAGGGTGGTTGAGATTAGTAGTTCAGCTGTAAATAATAAAACTTAATTTATCTATCATACTGGTACATAGTATGCAAAGGGGACCGAATTCTCAGAGATATAAAAGTGTATGATTATTTTTTTTTTTGTAATTCTGTCAATGTCCTAGTTTCAGGTGAACTAGGCTGTCGGTCAAACCAATCAGTTAAAATATTTTGTTTATACGAAAGAGTAGAGAATTAAAACTTGTGGCATCTTTCCTAAACCACAGTACGGAAGGAACGGGCTTCATCTTAACGAAGTCGTTACTGTTTGCTTCGACAGGCTCATAAGTGCTTTTGCCAAGACATTTTTGACAAGATTCAGTACACCCAAGACAGCCTCTGCTACAACTGTGCGTACTATTTTTCTGCAATTTTGGCGATAAATTCGTCAAGTAAAACCTATAACACCTCCACAAACACCACTTACATATTTGTTATATCAATTCATGCAGGATCAAAAAGAGGTTTTCTGTTCTCAGGGTCATTGAGAGAGAGGAATTTTTTATATGAATATCTCTGAACCTTTATTGGATACAAGAAAATAGAACCGATTCCTCAAGTTTCAGCACTTCTTTGCCCAATAAACTTGGTTTCTTCTTGCTTCCCAGAAGCACAGGGTCTTCAGTGATAATAGTGGGGTGCAATTGCTGCCTTCATCCACTGAGAGAGACTCCCAGTACCTCCAATCCTCGAGAGCTGATCGGCTCACGTCCTCTTGGGTCCACATTCAGGTCAACTCTGGCGTCACCTCCGCCGGCGCCGCCAGGGGGACTCGGTGACGTCATGGTGGGCGCTGATTGGTCGCCTGCGGCACGTGACCTAAGCCAGCCAATCCACAGCCGGCTGGCGTCGTCCACAAAATGGTGGATTTACAGGCAAGGGGCGCCATTTTGTTTGTCTCAAGGGCGCTACTTTCCCCCTTTACCTACAAAAATACAAACGCAAATTTCTCCCATATCAGGCAGTCGATCTGGTCGCCACATATATCAACAGACTCCCTGCATCTCATAGAATCAGCAGGGTCAGCAGATATGACTCTTAAAGCCAGATCTCAGAATAAATTGGGGGTGGCTCTGTAACATACCCCTCGCCTTAAAATAAGAGTCATATCGAATGAGCAGCACTGGAGAGGGCAACCTATGCTCTTGTTCCCTCCATTCCTGAAGTGTGACTTCTCCAGTTAGTGACGTGGCTCACACCACCTCGTCAGTCACTTGCATTCTTATACCTCCACCTCGCACAGGACCGGGTGGAGGAGGGTGTTCTCAGAACACATGTAAGGGATCCTCCTTCCGTGTCCACGATTACGTCCCAACGACTCGTTACCACTGCAATATTCAGTGCATGTAGGGCCTCCACTGCATAGTGCACTCTGAGGTACCCTTGCACCTCCACCACGTCCTACAGGTATTCCATACCTCCTCTCAAGATCTATTCTTCGCCATTCTTCTCTCTTCTCGGTTCCTCTTCTCCCGTATGTGCACTGTCTCCTCACAGCGACACCTGTTACCTGTCCTCCATCCACCAACTTCCTCTCTTCCACACCAGGCTTTTGCGATGGTACAACGCCCCTCTGGCTAGGCTGGCACCTACCCTGGGTATACTCGTTCCCTGCTTTCTTCCCATTACTCTTCTTCACTTACCATTCGTTCTACTGTTCTCGACGAACATCTTCATTCCTCCGTGAGATTCTTTTCTCTGTTGACGTCTTCTTTGGTTCGTGGTTACCTCGCCACAGTGGTTCTTCTTGCACCTACCACTATTCATCAGGCTGGCGTAGGGTGCACTATAAGAACAGAGGCAACTGCAGGATGCCAATTGGCGCCTACGAGGCAGCTCCTATTTATAACCACCCAATCCCCCCTCATATACATGTCCAACCCACGCTTGAAACAATCGAGGGACCCCACTTCCACCACGATACGCGGTAATTGGTTCCACAAATCAACCATTATCAGCATGAAGACACACACGGTCCAGGACGGACCGAAACGTCGTCGTTTCTAAATATTCCGATGTGTGGTTTGGTCATGAGGGAATGATATAGACTGTAGAGGCAGAGAGGGGTTAGGGAAGGACTAGGGAGGGGGGATAGGTGGCAGGCAACGGTAGCCGGATGGGGGGGTAGGAGGCAAGGTTGAGGAAGGAACAAATCCACAAGGGCAGTGATGAGGGTTCGAACCTACTTCCGGGATGATCCTAGACGTGCTTTAGTCGATTGTGCCACGACATAGTTAAAAGAACTGCAACCTGAAGTGCTATACTGTCCTCACGAGGCTCCTGCAGCTTCTCCGAAGCATAAACTGGTGTTCCACACAATTCCCTCATGCACCCGGGCACTGTCAGTCAGATATTCTACCTCTTCGCCCTTACTTTAATACACACAGAAAGTCCAATAGGTATTGAAGTAAGGGCGTAGAGGTAGAATATCTGGTAGACAGAGCCTGGCTGCATGGGGAGAATTGTGTGATACCCCAGTTTGTGCTCCGGAGAAGCTGCACAGGTCCGTTGTTCACCACAATGAAATGTGTGAAGTAAAACATGTGTATGGGGCAAGTAACAAAGTCAGTAGACTAACAGATGTTGTCACAGCTCGTATAAGACTTGGCTACAAGTATCTCTGGCAGTTCGGCTTGTATAGGGATCTAGATGAAGTAAAGTGTAAAGTGTGTGGACAAAGACAGGGACACACACTCGAACATTATATCTTGGATTGTAGTAAAATTTAGCCATTTAGAGATAAATCTAAGCTCACGTTGTATGATATGGCAACTAATCTTATTACCATGGATAAATTACCTGACATCCTTGCACTGCATCCATATTTCGCTCCCAGTAGATAAACGACACATAAGATTAATAAACTCAGTATTGTAAAGACTAAAAATAAACAGCAAATCCCCTATCTTGAATTTAACTAGAGATAATATATATATCATAGATATTATTAAAAGTATTTGTGTCATGGGTGACTTTAATTTTAGTGGAATAAACTGGATTAACAAAACAGGGAATAACGAAGCAGAAGATTTTATAGAATTATTTGACGATTGTTTTTTTATGCAACACATTAAGGAACCAACGAGGGAATATAATATTTTAGATTTAGTGTTAACTAACATGGAAACACAGATTAATGACAGAAATCGAGAGTGAACTTGGGAACAGTGATCACAAAGAAATCAGATTTAGCATAGAATGGAATAGATCTGCAGGAGAAAATTATGTTAAAGTGCCAGATTATCATAAAGCTAATTTCAATATCCAAAGATTTTTTTGGGGTTAAATAGATTGGAAAGTCTTGGGAATAGGGGGGGGGGGCGGTCGTGGAGCAAGATGTGAACTCAGCGATGTGTGATGTAAAGGAGGATTTTGATTTGGATTCAAAATATAACTTATTTACAAATATTCTAAGCAGAGCACAGGAAAGTAGTATACCTTACAAATTGAATAGATCAAATACAAATGACCCGAAATGGATAACAAAGGATCTAAAAAACTTTATAGGTAGAAAGAGAGCTTGGTATGAAAAGATTAAGAATGGGGAAGTCAGTTTAGAACAAGAATTCGCACAACTGGTTAGAAAGGTTAAAAAAGAGATAAGGAAAGCAAAAATAAACTATGAAGTTCGTATAGCAGGCCAATCAAGGGCAAATCCTTAAGGTTTTATCAGTTATATCGGACAAAGGTCAGGGAAAGGATAGGTCCATTAAAAACCGAGACAGGTCAGTTAACGGGTAATGACGAAGAGATGAGTAGTATTTTTAATAAATACTTTATCTCCGTATTTACAAAAGAAGAACTTAACTCTATGCCTTCAGCCGAACAAGTCTATGTGGGTGGGGACGAGGACAGGTTGACTAGTCTAACAGTTACCAGGGATGATATTATTAAACAAATAGTAAAATTCAAACCAAACAAATCCCCAGGGCCGGATGAAGTGTTTGCCAGGGTGCTTAAAGAATGCAAAGAGGAGCTTTGAGATCCATATTCTACCATATTTAATAAATCATTGAAGTCAGGCAGAGTGCCAGAGTCATGGAAGGTTGCTAATGTTGTACCAATTTTCAAGAAAGGAGATATAACTTTTTTCAACTTGAAAAATATAAATTAATAAACGAGTCGCAACATGGTTTTACAAATGGCCGTTCATGTGTAACAAATTTGCTATCTTTTTATTCCAGCATAGTTGAGGCAGTTGATAGTGGTAAGGTTTGCGATGTTGTGTATCTTGACTTTAGCAAAGTTTTTGATACAGTGCCACATGAAAGACTGATTAAAAAGATAGAGGCTCATGGTATTGGGGGTGCTATATTAAGATGGATTAGGGCATGGCTATACCAAAGGAAACAGAGTTAGTATAAATGGGGTTAAGTCACAGTGGGAAAATGTTGTAAGT